CGTTTAGGTTTGCTAACATCTACAGTGGATGAGGGGGGATCTTTAGGAGCTGTGAGAGTTTGTATTTGGTGCCTCGCCTCATTTAGTTGTGTGGTGAGCTGTTGTATGGTTGCCCGAAGACCTGCTAGTTCTTCTCGTAGAGTTGTAACTACCTCGCTTTCATGCTCTGGCAATGAGGGCCGCGTTACCTTTGTGACTGGCGGCGTGCTCCGTAGCGGTGGTTTCTTCCCTTGGACTCGGTCCGCCCATGTCAGCTCAGCCTGGCGAGATGGGGAGTGTCTCCTGGAGCGGGAGTGGCTGCGCTGGGCACTGCGACGTCTCGCTGTCGGTGTGAGGGAGCGGCTTCGCCTGGATGTCGCATAGGTGCTCGAGGTGGCGCTGGAATCGCGGGAGCTGGCTCCACTCGATCCTCGGGAGCGGCTACGACCGCGTCGACGGCGTCGGCGTCGTCGTTGGCGTACGATGTACGGAACTTGAAATTTACGTTTACAGTCCTTATCGGCAGTGGGGTGTGGTCCACCGCAGAGGGTGCAATCAAACATCACGAGTCTTTTTCTTTGCGTTAAAGTTGTATCTAGTTGAACGCTTACACCTCATTGGATTATTCATCAATTGGAGGCTAGATGTGTTCTGACGTATTTTCACTTCTTCTTGCCGTTTTGATGGGGAATTGCTCAGGCGTTTCATGGCTTTTAACTCGTCCACCGGGCTTTCTGAGGCAATGAATTTAAAACTGTGCTACAAGGTCAGACTTTCTAGCGCTTGTTTTTTTTAAAATTAGGGTATCAAAGAAACGTTGTTAAAAATAAATCCCAAGACGTGTCTGTGAACGGCATGACTTGGAGATCCACCATTTTTTCATGCGTTTCTTGAGAGCATCCTCAGAAACACGGGAAAACCTATAGATGCAGCGAGAGTGCAGATACTCATGTCGTGAACGGCAATCTGTGATTTTCATGTTGTTTCCCTCCCAAAAAGCTCTATATAATATTCTTTTGTGTATCAGAGCCCCCCAAGCAAGGATATGTAATAGAGAATGAGTGTAAGTTGATGGTTGAATTAATAAGCCACACTTTACGGCGATCGGTTGCCTTTTTGTCGCATTTTGCCCCTCTCACATGCAAGAAAAAAAAAATCGCTTCGTCCTCGGGCACCAAACGAACAACTAAAATTTTGGTGTTATGTAGCTCGTAGTCCAAAGTAACAAGAAAATATATTTACGTTGCTGTACTGGCGCGGGAGTAACTTGATGCACGGATCCAAAAATTTGGCCGAGAAGAAGTTCGCCTCGTTTTAACTGGTTACGTACCCACTGACACCAGCCGCGTAATTTTTCCGGCGCGAACGCCCTGAGCAATTATCAACTATTGCACATGAAAAGGTAGACAAGGGCCAGCACTTGTCGCTGGAAAAAGAAACAAAGAAAATTAGCTTTTGTATTATATATATCTACAGAGGCCGGCAAAGTCAGAATGTCGCATTTTGCCCCGCGTTTCATTTTGGCCCACCCTTAAGTGATACCTTAAGTGGTACACCTTACGTGGTAGTTCCTAATTGTTTTAACTACATCACCATGAAATATATTGTTAAAATTATTTGTTATTTGCATGTAGTGGAGGATAAAAAAGATACATACAAAACAAAAGGAAAAGGGGTCATTCAGTATGATGGAAATAAGCAGTCTGTGAACGAGTTTCTGATTTGAAAGAAGATGCGAAAGAAACTTTGTAAGAAAGCCGTACTTATATTTTTTTTTTCATTTACTTATTTCATCCCGACGTGTGCCCGTGAAACTTTACCGTAAACTCGGAGGCTAACATGTCTGGCGGGTTGGTAAAGAGCTTCTCCATCACATCTCTTGAGCAAAAAGACCATGGGCAGCACTCTTCTTTTACAATAAAACTGAGGTGGCTTGGGCCGAACCAGAAGAAAACGAACATTTCAAGTGATAATTTCAGTGGCCAAGCTAGAAGGAGATTTGCATGGCTCAACCTTGCATCACCCTGACATGCGCTTGACATGTGTGGAACTGACATGTGCTTGTATGTAAGCGCATACATGTATATATGTATGCGCACACATACAAGCACATGCCAGTTTGCAAATAAAGGCAAGTCTAAATTCCCTACATGGGTACGTTCATGGTAAAATCGTTCTTATGTGGAAACAGGCCTAACTTTGACCATTTTATCTCTTTACTTTTCATGGAAGAAAACGAGATACATTCCAAAGTCACGGCGCAGAGACGTGTTCATCAAAGGGTTAGAGAATTTAATGCAAGCCTTCCCCACTTGCAGAAAATTAAGACAGAAGATACGCACCGAAACAAATAAAAAAAAACAGTTCTGTTTACGCAAAGCATCGATTGTGAGAAGGTACAACCTCCCAGAAAAGCGTTTTGTTTTTCGAAAGACAGGAGCACAATTTAACTATATAGTCAGATGAGTCTCTACCTGAGCAGCTTCGCATGTGATACCAGAGGAGGCATGCCCCCACACTATTCTCTCCTGCAGGAGAGAACAGTATGGGTGCATGCTTCCCCTCGTTTGTGACATCCAGGGGCAACATTTTTACGGGTCACAGGGCGCTAGCGCACCGTTTGTGTGCTCAGGAAGTCCCCGAGTGCATGTTTGGTGGACTGGGCTCGGCGCCTCCTATACCAAGTGGCGCCCTGGCCACTTGTAGCCCTTTTACGCCACTCTATAGGCTTGTATAGTATATAAAGTATAGAAAAGGGCTGGAAGAGAAAGTGAGGACGAGAGAAAAGAGCTGGGTAGTAAGGGAAAAGCGTAGCAATAACGAGGGGAGAAATGGAGATAAAGAACGGGAGAAAGAGAATCCAAGAAAGAGACAGAGAGAAAAAAGAAAGAATGAAAGAAAGAAAGAGAAGGAAGAGAGGGAATAAGAATAAGTACGTATTGAGAAAGAATAAAATAGAAATAAACATAAAAAGGGGTGAAAAAAGAAAAAAAGACGAAGAAAGAGAATAAAAAAGAAACAAAGAAGGCTGTTTCCCAGCTCCGCACTTCCTTCGCTGGTCTGAAACTGCCTTAATTATTAATGTCTGACAGAGCAAACAGGGTTTGAGTTCCTCGTCGGGCAGCCCAACGTGCACCACCTCAAAAGCTTATTTGGCGCTGTGAATACAACTTCAGACGCCAGACCGCTGAACGACATTATTAAATTGTGAGAACTTGTGAGACAAACTTGTTAACGTAGGGAAAATCAGCCAAATTTTTTTCTGCCTCCGTTTGTTTTGTGATTTATTCAACTTCCGCTCTGTGTTCCTTTCTTTCAAGCGAGATGCAGACTTCCGTTTTCGGGGCAGGCCTCCAGATCGAGACGGAGCATACATGTCCCGGATATCCCGCTGCCTCCAAACATGCCACTTGCTCCAAACGTACTATACCAAGTGAATGCATAACTTGCCAGACGCCTATCCAGAAATTGTTTTCGGAGGGGGGGGGGGGGGCGGGGGGGGATGAGGAGGAGAAGGGGCATACTTTTGATATGGTCATTTTTCACTCTCTGTGCTATGTCGAAAAAAAATTTCGGGGGGGGGGGGGGGCACGAGCGCGGTGTGCCACTACCTGGCTACGCCCTTGTAACTTGCAGATAGTGTTGGACGAAGAGACAGTGCAAAATTTCTTAATTCAAGCTTTGATTGCGCTGAATTGTACTTCAGGGGCGGCTTGTTTTCTCCGGGCTCATAGGCCCAACACAAGTGCTCATGTTCAAAAGGCACCCTCAAATTCAAGAACGTATACTACTGTGGTCTACAGGAAATTCCGTGGTAAACTGAACGGCTTGAAACACCGATCAAAAGAAGCAAGGATACGCGGAAGAATGTGTTGTTTCAATCTAAACAGTATACTGACGAGAGCCGACCCCATAAGAACAAGACAAAAGATAAGATCGATAGGCATCAGAGTATTATATTGGTAATGCATTTGTTTTTTAATGATAATTTAATGTTCACTGCAGTCGGACGCACTGCCCTGTTATGATTTTTTCTCGCTTGTGATATAGAAATTCAGCAAATTGGCATTGATTCGCAGGTAGTGTTGTGCAGTTTTCAGCTCCTATGTATACCTTTCTCTTTACGCCTGTGTCGTGTTCCTTTTTTATAAGCGACGTGCATGCAGGCTAAGTACATGGATGACCGACCAACTAGCCTGAGCTTCAACACTTCTCACAAAAAATACGCCTGTTCTACACTCATGTAGTGTATGGTCTAGAAGAGAAATTATACGCAGGTAGGTTTGATAGAGTGAGTGAGTGAGTGAGTGAGTGAGTGAGTGGGCGCTTTTCATTAGAAAGCCCACAACAAGACCGAAGGGAAGCAGCCTGTTTTCACAGTCGCCGGCAATTGCTCCGCCAGATACACTCTGTTCTCAAAAGCGGCTGCGCATGTGGTATACTTTGGTGAAGCGCTGTCCATATCGGGTGCATTGCAGATCTCGCCACATACTATCCAAGCAGAGACAAGCCTTCGCGGGCCCATCAGAGCTTCGCGCCGCGTTTCGCCGACGTTGGCAGTATCGGAGAGGAGAGCTCGTGGTGTAAGCGAGGGTTAATCCGGCCTTCCCGGCAACCGTCCCACCCATCTGCCAGCAGCTGACATCGAGATTCGCCTCGGCCTGTTCTCCCGCACCGTCAAGAATGCGCAGCACGTCTAGACCAGAGATCGGCTGCGCCGGGCGGAGTCGTTGGGTACCGATCGTCCTCCTCCTCGTCACCGGAGAGGCTGCAGCTCAGTCTGAAAAAAAGGCTGGTATCAACGTGCTTAGCGTAACATACGCGGACACACTTCTCAGTGGAACGGGGGACATCGCTGAAAGCTGTGCCCCCCTTCTAGGCCGCAGTGCGTTGCCGCAGTGCGTCAAAGAAGAAGGAGGCGGGGTCCAGCTCCGCCTTCCCCGGTGCTCCGCCCCCTTTCGGAAGGGGGGACGAGGCGGCGGGGGATGTCGGCGCGCATCCTCGGCCGCGCAGCCGGGGATTCGGCGCGGGACGCGGGCCGGCATGGAACCCACGAGTGAGTACGGTCACTTCCCTCTACCTCTGTACCCCTCAGGACCTACTGTTCGGCGGGAAATCGCGATGCACGAAGAGTTGTCGGAAAGTTCTCACGACAGCTGCGGGCCTAAGTCAGTTGCGGAGGTAAACGATTTCGCACTATTGCTACTCGCGTTTGAGAGCGCTGATCGATAATGACACAAAGAAATGCTCTAGCAGCGCGCATATCTTGAGGTTAAAAATAGAATAAGTGTGTAGGTGCGACGGGTGCGGTAATAAGAGAATCATAGCAACTGCAATATAGCCAGTTAGCCAGCTTGCTACAGCGTTAGGCTCTCACATCACACCATTCAAGTAGCTCGGACGTGCTCAGTGAGCAAACGAAAAGTCACCGAAACCTATAATAATGTTCCAAACCAATCCAGTCTCTTCTTTCAAATTCTCATTAAAAGCTCGGCCTGAAGTTCGATCTTTGTTGAGCCTATAACCCCAAAACCAGAGATTATCACGCCAACCAACAGCACTTACTCTAGGGCCTTACAACCACCTTATGTGAATAGCAAGCGCTACTTATCTTCACCACACGTATTTCGTTTTTATATCGCGCAGAGTATTCTAGTTCCTGCTATGAACCACCGTGCTCGTTTCAATGATGTTGCTACAACTGAACAGCCCAACACACGAATAAGCTATAGTGTGATGCATGGTTTTCTTGGGATTCACGAAGTTCACGACAACACAGGCCTTTGAAGAGCGTATCTGTTTCTGTAAAGGTTACCACCAATGCGTGTTTCTATCGTGCCCCCAATAGTGGGTCTCCTTGTTCAACGGTGAGTGTGGCTGTGGCAGGCGATTTCTGTTATACATAACACGAGGGGGATGTGGCTTCCTCCATTCCGTGAGTGCGCGTGTGTGGCACCCCGGACAGCGAGGGATGTGACGGACATCTGCAAACAAGACGGAGCAAACATCTCCCGTGCTCCGCCGAGGATTACGAGGAGTCGCCGGAGCACAACGTCGGAGCAAACTGGTCTGCAGCCGACGCCTTCGCGCGTATCCGTAATATATTTCAAATGTTTGTCTCGGACGCGGAGACCGACGTCCTTACTAAGGGACGTCGCAGCGCCGTCCCTTTGGACACTACACGAGGCGGGAAAGCTTTTCCGAGACGTCCGCAGCCAAGCCAAGCCCTGTACGCAGTATAGTGCGGCCGTCGAGTGTGCACAGGGAGCGGCAGTGCGACAACGTGTGTGTGCTTTTGGGATTACAAACGTGTGCTGCCGATGCGTGCCATACGGATCGCCCTATGCAGCGGCGAAGCTTTCGCCGAATACGCATGGTCTCTGCTCCGAAGACACGCGATCTGCGACGTGCACAGGTGATGGACACCGCTGCGCTCCACGGAAAGCGGCTTTGAACCCTTTCGTGAATGTTAGCTTCATCCGTGGAGATGTACGACTTAAACGCCGTCGTTTTGCATGCTTGCTCGGTGGAATTTGTGATGTTGGCATCTCGATTCTCACAGTGTGGACGAATGCGACCGCCACGTATAATACCAACGTGTCCAATATATGCACTCTTCGTCTATGAAACGACAGGAACGTTCTGTCACAAGCTTTTAAGCGCATGCTACAATCACTTTGCACATGCTGTTCACGTCTTTTGACTCGTAAGCGTCTTTTCACGTCTTTTGACTCTTAATATATAGGGCTATAGTTTCCTCCAAGCGCTTGTGGGTTCAGCTCGCTTGTAAGGAGCCAACAATGGGGTGCCGGTATAAAATGTTCACAGCCGGGAAGTTCTCAGCCTTAACAAGAAATAAAAGGAGGGAATAGAGGTTGCATGGATGATTCTATCTCGTGTAAGGGTAGCCTAATTTATCTTACCTGCCGTCTTTGGTGAACAATAATTTTCGACCCATTGAACAGCTTGTAATGACATTAGCTATATACGAAATTTTTATGTTTTGTTACCTTAGCGTCAAAAGAACATTCAGGATCAATCGTTATATGAACGAGATATTTGTTCCGTTTGGCAGTTCATGGGGTTTTCTAAAATGTGTATATCGAAAGAATCTAGCGTGTTTCTTTGACAACTTGCTCAATGTCGGCTCCTCGCCCTCTAGCATTGCATTGGGAGAAAGACCAGAAACGGAGGTTCCATGCGGCACAGCTTCATCTTTCACAATCTTTGGAAGTCCATGGCATACCAACAAAATATGTTTGAGTAAGCTATCGCACAAAATACACAATCTCTTACAGCCTTTCATAAGCAGTCGTGTATGGTATCTAGAGCATGTTGTGAACTGTGTGTAAACGTTTAACATTACTGAGGGGCGTTTATATACCAGACGTCCCCCAAAAAATTAGTCCGTGGTATAGCCGAGCTTCTCACAGATGCTGTCTCCTTCTCGCTTACGAGAATACGTCATGTGCCCATCGTATACCTTTGCCACAATATAGCAACGTTTTCAGGGTCTATTCATTTTGAAAAAAAAAATAATTACTGGCTTTACCGTGCAGTTATGGAACGTGCTGGAATCTTACTGTCACAATAGCTACTCTCGTTGCTTACATGAAGCAACAGCAAACTCTATAGCGGAGGTGGACAGCCTTATAATGCAGTCGCCTTTTTGTTGCATATGCATACTGACTTGACTGTAAGCTCTGCAAACAAGACCTTTCTGACTGCTGGAATGCTAGCATATATGTTAATACAACTCGTTCAACATTTGAACATTCAAGCGATTGTTCCACAGCTTTCGGCTGCTGCAGGCAGTTACATATAGCATTAGCTGCACCTCAAGATCACCCACGGTTGTTGGGATGGAGAGTCTGGAGGCGCGTCAAAGGCGGCGAGCGGAAGTTTTCACCGGAAGTCCTGTGAGGTACCGATGTTCTCAGGGTCAACATGAAGGGCGTTTGTTTGCAAACGCTCGACCGGGCTGAATTGTACGCTATACATTGGTTTGTACTAAAGATTTGCGTCTGTGTACAACATCTGAAAACGAGAGATGGAAAAGACGAACTCTTACAGGTCACGTGTTAGCATGAAAACAAGATGAACTATTGTGGTCGCCCAGAGAGGTCAAGTTTGAGCTTTATTTGCGTCGTCGAATTCGTCGCTGGATGGCGGGTTATTAGTGCACGCCTGTCTTGTTTCATTTGTAGCTTTTTCAAGCATTCGCTTAATTCATGCGTGGTGGTTCTCTGTCCGTCGCAGGCCATCACTCTGCATGACATTCGCCTTCTCGTTTTTGTCATTACCACCCCCCTTTAATTTCTTTTTATTTTGTCTTAGCCCCTGAGCTTTCTATTATTTGTTTTCCGAAACACTTTTATGCTTTAAATGTACTCTTTTGCACCATCGTGCACAGATCAACCAACATGTCGTCTTGCCGCTCCACAATAATTTTTTTCTATCATTTTCGTCCTTTCCCATTCATTTCAATACTATCTTGGGACATGGCCAATTAGCATTGGACTGCATGAATATAAATACAATTCATATATATTCATCGAATAACTATGCTGAGGTTAATAATGCAGCGTGGCGAAGGCATAGTGTCTCAGCGTCTTCCTCAGCTATACAAACTGTAACCGAAGGTTACATTCGTCGCTTGTTAATAAGGAAAATTGGATAACGCGAACGTGTTCGCTGGACCAAATAAGCACATTCATTATTCAATGACATCAAGCTGTGATGAGTTTGGTCATGTTTGGCACTTACCATTGCTTTGGCCGATGGACTTCACAAAGGCGGGGCCGTCATCCACTATCGCTTTGCTCGTTTGACCACCTGGGGTTCTACAGCCCAATTCTACAGCTACACGGATCTTAAAAGCATTTTCGCCTCCACCTACAATGCGGCCGCCACGGCCGGCCGGGATTCGATCCCGCGATGTGCGACTTGGCGTGCGTGAACTGTGTGGATGCTATCTATGATCGCGTCATTGCGCCGATAGCAACTGCGGTATCTTCCGCAGCATATATTTGGCAAGCAGTAGTTACGTTTTCGTCGTGTTTTCAAAACTGCACGGATGTAATATAAGATGGCGTCGCCAAAACGGCTACGGTTTCGCTCACGACGGACGCTGCACTCAGCAGGTTTGTTTTGACTCGGCGCAATGGGCACGTAATTTCACATAGCCTAAACACTGCTGAGCCTGGCGAAAACGTAGAGCATTTCAGCCGCGGTCCGCGCTATGGCACGAAATTGGCTGGCTACGTCGGGTTGGTGGTGGCGGCACGTAACAAGGGAGTGGTGTAGAATTCATTTCTGGGTAATTAAGAGGCGGACAAAATTGCACCATGCACGCATTGTGAGGGAAGTTGCGAACGAGAAAAATTGTGGCTTTTACGCTGCATTTAGACAAAATAAGTGCAGGAGTTACGGTTTCACCGAGGAAAAAAATTTGTGCTGCTTGCGCCGAGTCGTGCACGGCTGCATGATAGGGGAGTTGCTGCTACTTGGTCCTGGCTCGACTATATATAGGCTTCTACCTTCTGACCTTTTTCTTTCCCACCCTTTGCTATACTTACTACACGTGGTTGTGCCTGTTCTCTTTCTTTATATGTATTTTTCTTAGTCTGTGACTTTCTGCAAAGTCTGTTTGTTTCACAGTCTCTCTCTTTCCTTTCTTTCTTTCTTTCTTTCTTTCTTTCTTTCTTTCTTTCTTTCTTTCTTTCTTTCTTTCTTTCTTTCTTTCTTTCTTTCTTTCTTTCTTTTCTGTTTCATTTTCTTTCAATGCCTTCCTCTCTCTCTCTCGCTCTAGCTCCCGCTTTCATACCTTTAATCTTTTTCAGTCTTTCGTCCCTTCCTTCCTTTCTATTTATCTCTTTCTTTCTATCTCTTTGTATACCTACGGCCCACGAAAACGTCGAGCATGACAAATCTGCTGTGATAAACTTCTATAGCACGTATGTGCCGCAAGAATTGGGCAAATACCACTATCAGTGACCACAGTGGTCCACAAAAAAAAAAAAAAAAACCCAGTGCAACACACGGACGGCGAGTTTA